GCGCCGTGACGCGGTTAGGCCGGGCCGGAGCGCGAGCGGGGCCGCTGAGGTGAGCGGGCCGGGAGCGGGACCCGGGGCCGCGGATCCCGGGCTGTCCCCGCCCGTGCTGACGGAGCCGCGGTCGCACCCATGGGCGCCCCCTTCCCCGCGGGYCTGCGAGGTCCCGAGGGGGCCGCGCGGGCTCCTCGCTCGTGGGGCTGCCCACCCTCTCCCTCAGCGGCCCGTGCGCTCTCTGCCAGGTCGGGGCCGCTGCGGCCATGGGCGAGTACGGCATCGAGCCGGGGCAGCGCGTGGCCGTGCTCTGGGACGCCTCCGCGCCGGCGCAGCAGCTGAAGGACTTGGTGGAGAGGATTCAGGCGCTGGTGGGAGCCGAATCCCGCGTGTCTGTGGAAAACATCAGCCAGCTGCCTCAGTGTAAGGACGGTATTTCTGCTTTTGCTGCTGCCGATGGCGCTGCCCGGCGTTCTGGGTAGGCTTTCAGAATAGCCGTAGCAGAGGCTGCCAGCCCGCAGGTCCGCAGAGGTGATCGGCTCTGCTCGTGTTCTCATGGCCGGGCTCTTCAATCAGCTATCGCTGCTGCACGCAAGCCTGAGAGATGTGGAGAGCGGGCGAAACCGCTGTATTAAGCAAAGGGGGGGGGGTGTATCTATAATTGTATGAGCCTCTGTCTTGATCGCTCTCTTTTCAGCCGCCCACGGAGCGTCCAGTTTCGATGTGATTCTCTGCGGCCTGGTGCCCGGCAGCGCGGCGCAGCACGGCGCGGACCTGCTGGCGGAGATCGCCCGGATACTCAAGCCAGGGGGCCGCGTCCTCCTGAGAGAGCCGGTGGTTACGGAGACAGGTGAGAGGGTCTGCACCGGGTCTGCTTCCCAACCCCACGGAGAAATTCTTGTGGGGCCTGGGCCGAAGCGAAAGGAGCAGGAACGCTGACTGCTCTTCAAAGAAAGACTGCCATTCCCCTCATGCACTGGCCTGAACAGCAGGGGTTTATCCTGTGTTCAGGTTGATACCAGTCCAAGATGTGTACGAGGATTCTCCTTCTATTGGAAGTGCAGAATAGGCTTGTTGTGAAGCCAYGCCAAAAGGCTCGGTGGGCACTGACCTTGAAGGGCTTAAATGTTGCTGTAGATGTCACATTTCTGCAGCCTTTTTGAAGTGATTTTGAAAGTGCCTTTAGATGTGGCATGTTGGCAACAGATGTGGAGGGGAARTGGTCCCAGGAGTCGCACAGAATCCCAGAATGGCTGAGGTTGGAAGAGACCTCTAGGGATCCTCCAGTCCAACCCCCTGCTGCAGTGGGGACACCCAGAGCACAGGGCACAGCGTGGCATCCCGGCGGGTTTGGGAGACCTCCAGAGGAGGAGACTCCACAACCTCCGTGGAGTTGTTTGGGTCTCTGTTATCCGGAAAAGGTAGGAACGCTTTTGGACTAAGTCTTGCAACGGAAGSCCAAGCACCTGCGCTAGGAGGGCAGAATTATTTCTCTGTCTTTGATGTGACCTTGTTGGCGCCTGAACCTTGTTGGTTCAGACTGGAAGGAGGAAATAACCCCCCACCTCCTAACAGCAGAAACGTTCCTGTTAATGTTGTTGTTGTTGGCCTAATCTGCAGTGTGGARAACGGTGATTTGACCGGCAGCAGGAAACTCCTCCTTGAGGTGGGGAGGATTTGCCAGTGTGTTGAATCTGGCAGCAGCTCTGCACTGCTGGCAGCACCTTAGAGGGGGAGCCTGTCTGAGACACAGGACAAAACGTGCAAACTCAGGAGCAGCAGGGCCTTCCTGTTTCCAAAGTCGTATCTGGCAGGCAGGAATTTGGAATAAAGTGCAAGTGGGACTGAGGTGAGGTGGGTATTTTGGGTTTGTTTGATTGTTTTTGTTGCTATTTCGTCCCCRAGGGAAGAGGCCTGTTAATAGTTTATGATAAAAGGGTGACTAATAACTTTYGATGGCTAGAATGAGCTCTTGAATATTGTGTTTCTGAATATAAAGTTCATGTAGGCATCTGTGTTTTGAAAACTTAATGAGTTATTCACTTAAAATGGTTTGGGGAGGGAGGGTTTTTTTCCTTCTTCTAAAGGGTGTTAACTGAACACCYTTTCAGGGTTGGGTCAGGAAGGTTTCAACATCTGTAAAACAGATCCAGAGCTAGAACTAGCTTTGCATCCTCAGGCAGTTATCTCAATGTCTGCTCTCTATGTCCTAATCCTCCCCTCCTCTTACCCCTGCTTTTGTGTCTTGCAGAAAACAGCCAGATCAAGACAGCAGCCAAACTCCCCACAGCTCTGACCCTCTCTGGGCTGGTGGAGGTGAAGGAGGTAGGTGGGTACTAGCGGCATCACAAAGCTCCCTCCCGCTGTTATCTCGGGAAGCGGAGCAGGGATCCTGAAAGGCTCGCTGCGTACGAGCTATTGAGTGTCACAGGTTTGCCCTACATCCGCACGCGCGCTGCCTGCCATAATAAAAGCTTGCTGCAAAGATCCTGCTTTCCTTTAGGGCTGCAGATTTACAGGAACCCGTGTCTCCCTGCGGCGTGCTGAGCTGCCCTTTGTGTTGCGGCTGGGGCTGCCTCACCCTCTGCCCTGGGGAAGGGGAAGCAGGGGCTAAGGGGCCGCATTCAGAGCAGTTCTGGGCTGGGCGCCAGAGCAGGGTGGTTCTGCATGAGATCAACCCGAGATGTTGCACTGCAGCTGCGAAAGGAGCCCCTGACCCCGGAGGAGACCCAGTCGGTCCGAGAGCATTTGGGCTACCAAGGCAATGACCTTCTCATGGTTCAGCTGGAGGGCAGGAAACCCAACTTCGAAGTGGGGTCCTCGAGTCAGCTCAAGCTTTCCTTTGCCAAGAAACCTTCGGGTAAGAAGCACCGAATGTCTGGATCGGCTGCCTCTCAAGGGACACTTGCCACTTGAGACAGCGAGGCAGCTCTGTTGCAGAGCTGCTTGAATTCCGTGTACTGGGAGCAGATGGGAGAGTGGCTGGAGTAACCATTATCTGTCATTGCCCCCAGGAAAGCCCTCTGTGGACCCGGCGACTGCGAAGCTGTGGACTCTCTCTGCCAACGATATGAATGACGATGAGATGGTATTTGCAAGTCTGTGCTGCTTTTTTTCCTCTCCCTTCTGTTATTACAGAGTTTCAGCCCTGCCRTTCGGTGGCCTCTACATCTTGAGAGGTGGCTCAGCACCCCCAGGGCAGAATTTATCTGCTGCTGGATGAGGTCTGGGGTGCAGTGAGCATGTAGTTAAGAGGGCAGGGCTGCAGTGCTTTAATGCTACTGGGGTAGTACCATTTCTTTGAACAYAGCACAGCACAGTGGTGTCTTTACCTACTGACAAATCCCTTTCCTGGGGGTGTTTCCAGGATCTGCTGGACTCGGATGAGCTGTTGGATTCCGAGGACTTGAAGAAGCCAGATCCGTCATCCCTCAGAGCTCCCTCTTGCAAAGACATGGGCAAGAAGAAAGCCTGCAAGAACTGGTCAGTGTTGGGATTAGAAGAGTTGTGGAAGCTTAACAATACTCTAAAAAAAAATCGCCAAATTCAACTGAAAAAAAAACCCGAGGCCAAACAGTTTTGCTTAAGCACTTCATGTTATAAGTTAGTCCAGCTACGGAAAAACAGTTTTAAAAGTGTCTTCCTCTTGCATTTTGGCCACCTGCCTYGACACTGCTAGAAATTCCTGCGCTCACATCTGAGCAGCCTTCTTGGGGGCGCAGGATGGCCACAYGGTTTGTACAAGCTTCACTAAAATCCTGGTTCTCCCGCAGTTTTCCAGAAATAGCCCACGTGGGTATAAAGAGATCGCCGYGTCCTTCAGTGTCACGTTTCCCCTTGGTTTCAGTCAGAGGAATGTGTGTCAGCACTTGTGTTTTTAGAAACTGTGGTGTCGGAGAAGCGGCATTCCCAGGATGAGCCGTGCCTGCCACGGCGAGGGTCGCTCCCGCTTGTCCACACGCAGGGCCGGAGCGCGTGTCGGCAGCGCCTTGAAGCACAAAGACTCAGGTGGTTTCCTTATTTTCGGCAGCACGTGTGGCCTGGCTGAAGAGCTGGAGCAGGAGAAGAGGAGCTCGCAACCCAGATCGGCCTGTGGCAACGTAAGCGAGCGCTTTSGTTTCTGTGCTGTGCCTTGTCCTGAGCAGTCTGCCCGAGAGCCAGCAGCTCCCTGGTCGGCTCCCCGCTCTCCGTTGCTCCCCGTGCGGATCCTGCCTCGCAGCTTGTCCCGARGGGCCTGCCTGGCTCGGCTGCCCGGTGCCCGTGCACTCCGAACGGGCACGTGCCGTCYGTCAGAGCACCCGCGGCCCCGCGCCGTCCTTTGCCCGCCGCTGGCACCTCCTGCGCCGTCTCCTCCTCGAGGATGACCCCGCGGGAGCGCCGGGGCTTGGCGGTGGCCGGGGGGGAGCCGCGGGTGTTGGGAGGGGGCGGAAGGGAAGGGCTCCCCAGGGATGGGGTGTCCGGCCGCGTCGCGCAGGGCCGGGCGCTGCCCTGCGTTCGGTGGAGCAGCGCGCGCTTGTCCTTCCCCGCCAGTGCTACCTGGGCGACGCCTTCCGCTGCGCCAGCTGCCCCTACCTGGGCATGCCCGCCTTCAAACCCGGCGAGAAGATCCTTCTCGAGGAGAACCAGCTGCACGATGCCTAACGGCAAGGCGCTCGTGCGCGTCCTGCAAAGGCCTCTGCTTTCCCAGCAGTCCGAGATGCAGAGCTTCTTCCCGTCCTTCATCTTCTCCAGTCCATGCTCTCGGGACAATATTCCTCATGGGGAGGGACACTGTGGGTGCTGATACTGCTGTGAATTCATCAGATTTAATCAAGCTTGGGATGTCTGATAATCTCTGGTGACGGGTGGCCTTGAATGTGTGAGACTTCCATGTTACGCCTTGTTTTAGGTGGCCTGACGYGTATGGAGACACTGTCCATCACAGCCTGTCCCTCTAGGAAAGGGAAGTGGGATCGAGTGCCACACTGACCTTCTCTGTGCGTGGCAGGAGCCTCCTGGGTGCTTCCCCGGGCCGTGTCCTGCTCCGTGCCCTAATCCCCGCTGCATCGGCCGCYCTGCCGCGGCTTGCAGGCTGCCCCTGGCCTCCTGCGCTCTTGGGACGCTCCTGGGACCCGCGCTCCTTGCCACGGGGAGGCAGCTCCGCGCCTCCTGCCCTGAGCCGGGAGCTAGCCGGGAATTCCCAAGGGCTTTAGGAGCGTGCCAGTCATTCCCCCCCCCTTCCCCTATATTCCTCACAGTGCAAGTGATTAATAGGGGTTGCGAAGCCTCCTGCCCTTGCGGCAGAGAGCGGATCAAACGGGATCCCTGCGTTTCCCCAGCACCTTTCCGTCCGGTGTGCRCTGGCAGCGCAAGGGTAGTGCAGGACCGTCCCCTCTTTTGGGGGCTGCCTGGAGTGTCCAGTGAGAGAGAATACAGCAATGACTGGAGTTCTGGCTTGCTGTGGCCGCTCTCTGCTGCTGCTCCATGAGGTGCTGACAGCTCTTATTAAATATTTGTGTAGTTTCCGCTTGTGAAGCATCCACGTGGGGCGGGCTGAGGCCGCCGCCCCTCTTCTGCCCTCGGCTTTCTCCTCTTCAGGAGAGGAAAGGTGGGAAGCCCAGCCTCTCCCTAGGGGATTGCTCTGGAGCTGACGCGCGGTAGCTTCGTGTCGCGGTGCTGCCCGGGCGGCCTCTCGTTGGGAGGAGAGGCCAAGTTCCTACGATAAACGTGACCAAGAGCAAAGCATCTCTTCGCGGCAGGGTGCTGGTGGCGTTCGAAACGCCGCCGTCTCCTCTTCCCCGGGCTCGCGTTATCCGGGCTCGCGTCGGTTTGCGGTTTCTGGCGCTGTTAATGGCTTGGGTCGCGGGGCAGACCTTGGAGTCGTACGGCAGTCAGGACACCGGTTAAACCTCCTCGCGGAGCGAAGGGAAAGGGCAGGGCTCAGACCTGGGGAGACGCTTCCCGCTGCCGCCCGGGGCTCCGTGCGGCCGGGCCGGGACACGACCCGGAGCTTCCTGAGCGCGGGTGGCTCCTGCTCCCCTCCCGGASGGGGTTGGGAGGGGAAGGGGCTCCCGCACGGGGGGCACAATGGGGGCTGTGTTGGACAGGCGCCCCTGGCTGGCATTGGGGGTTCAGGGGGAGGATTCCAGTGGGAAGCCCGGATCCAATTCCCGGCCAATGCAGCCCTCCTTTCCTCAGCCCCTCTCCTCTRCAGCAGCCCCTGGCCCTGCCCCGGTGCTTCCCTTGCAGCCCGCTCTTCCGCCCCGCACAGGGAAGCGCCAGCCGAGCTGGGCTGCGGCCCTTGCGATGCCCTGTTCACTCTGGAACCTAATGACCACCCCCTGCATTGCCATCACGTCTCAGGCAGCCCCGACAGGCCCTGCTGTGGCTCCGGCCCCACAATCAGAGAAGGTTTCTTGGCTCCTCCTCGTTGGGGACTTCCCCACAAGCGCTGTCCCCTGGCCAAGGGGGGCTCCCATGTGGGGCAGCCGTGGGGCACCCCACAGCTGGCATTGGTGGTTCAGTGGGAGAATTCTCGCCTGCCACGCGGGAGGCCCGGGTTCGATTCCCGGCCAATGCAGCCCTCCTTTTCCTCACCCACCGGACCCGTCCTGGCTCTGCCTCTTGTTGACCCCTCCTGCTCCAGCCCCAGGGCTGCCCCCCTGCCCCTCTCCGTGGGGCAGCTGCCCTATGGAGCGCTGCTTGGCCGCACCTCTGCCCATGCCTGAGCCCCACGGGGCAGATGATGCTTCCMCCTGCCTCCCACGGGGGCCCTTGGAATACGATGTTGACTCTGGAGCCTAATGATGACACCCTTCCTTGCCATCGTTTCTCAGGCAGCACAAAGTGATCCTTGCAGGAGGGGGATCCCCACAAGTGCTGTCCCCTGTCCAGGGGGGGCTCCCGTGTGGGGCAGCCGTGGGGCACCCCACAGCTGGCATTGGTGGTTCAGTGGGAGAATTCTCGCCTGCCACGCGGGAGGCCCGGGTTCGATTCCCGG